TGTGGGATGGGAGTCTGTGGTTGGACTGAACACGGCAAATGTCCTGCAAACGGCGGAGCGTCCGGCTCCAAGATGCCACTCGGCTGAGGCTGAGCTGTGACGATTCGCCGCATCTCAGACATGTTTGTGTCAGATTCATTTTCAGATTCATTTTCTTTGGATTGGAAAAGCAGAAACACAACGCCAGAGTGGAAACCAGTAATATAACAATTCAGTTTATTTTAGTTATTTTTCCAGACAGACACATCAATTTCTGGACCACAGTAGAGGATGGAAACCTTTCACAGACATTTTTTTTTGTCAATATTATTATTTGAAAATACAAATATAAAATTAGACTTTCCACATTTGATATGTGAGAGACCCCCATCCATTATTATCACCGTTATTATTTCAGAATATTTTACAATAGGGCTTGAGCAAAGCCATATGATAACCTGAAAGATGCTTTCAGATGTCAGTCAAGTCTGTCTGTCTCTCGCCATAAAAAGTCGGTTAACATAAAAAAACAGGGGCAAGTGTTAGGAATGGGCCGGCGGCAGCGAGCGCGGCTCTGTGCTCGGCCTGCGGAGACATGGAAGCACAGCAGAGCCTCTCGCTGCCGGCCGGGCGCTCTGAAAGGGGGCGTCTGGGCTCCACCCCGCTCCCCCCCTTCGGGTGTGTGTGCGTCCTGCTCCGTCTGAACGCCGGCGGGTGGAGGGAGTGAAATCATGTCTCTGAATGTCAGCGAGTGACCATGTTTCGACTAAATGCACGAGGAATAGTTTGTATACAGCTGAGGTCTCCAGTCTAGTATTTTCACACAAAGTCAAAATGGGTGAAAATTGCAAATATATATATATGTATATATATTCCCATGGACACAGACACACACACACACACACACAGATATATATATATATATTGCAACTGTTGGTATATTTAGCAATGAATGCGGCTGAGATGGTTTGAAGGGAAATTCACCCTAAAACATGACCTCATGTGAGAACTTGTGTCATTTCTGTCACCTTGACACGTTCAGTTGACGTTTCTGAACCGTTTTCATATTCATTTCCTGTAACAAGAGGAGCCAAAACTATAAATATAAAGTGTCGGCGAGTCACTTTGTAGCCTCAGAGACTAACTTTGTGGTCACTGTGTCTGTATCCAGTATCTCTCAGAGATAAGGGCACATAGTCTGGCTTAAAACCATTAGCACCACTGTGATCAAGCCTCTCTTTCTCTCTTTTTATTTTCTGGGGTTAAAAATGCTCGACAACATTCCATGAGCCTTCAAGGTCAGGCGAGAGTGACCGGAAGTACAGCGAAGTGAAACCAGCAAATTGAGCATAAACCAAATGAAGTCTGCGTGTTTTGGACAGAAATATCAGAAGCGTTGGGCAGTTTTAGGGTGGGATTTTCCACTAGTGAATGGGGGATATTATGGTTTGGCCATTGCCTAGCACTTGCCTCGAGATTCAAGTTTAAATGGATACGGTAGTACACTACAAATGTCAACACCATTCCAGGTTGACTTTTTTTGAATCTTTTTTTTTGTTGTTTTGTTTTTATTTTTTTAAGATTACTTTTCTTCTCTTTTTCTTTTTCTTGAACTGAGACCCGTCCCCTCTCCCCGAATGGATAAGCTAGTCTACTAAGATGTGTAACATTCATCAGCTGTAAACTGCTGTCAGTTTGAGAAGAAATGAAATTACAGCAAGAGCCATGCTACCTTAAAGTCCAAGCTACAAGATGCGAAACAAAAAAAAACAACAAAAAAACGACATTTTCTGGTGTTGTGCAAGGGAAAAATGAACAATTTGAATGTTTTCCCTCCTCCCCTTTTTTTGAACGAATTTAGGGGTAATTATAGTTAAAGAGCTAACAAAAAAACAACAACAAAAAAATTACAGTGTGCAACAGGTGATGCTGTCTTTATTTCTGTCCAAATGAGGCTGAAATTTTAGTGCCACTGGACAAACAAATTGTTCAAATTATAAGTGGCATGTCTTATTTTCTTCCTTAATGGTCCAATATCATTACTTTTCTTTAGGAGCAATAAATTATTTATTGCTCCAGAATTAAAATTGTTGAAATGCACTTACCTTCAAATAAAACACCCTGTGTGCTTGTTTGGATAGACTGGCGATCAAGCAGCCCTCTCCAAATACTGCATGTAATCTAACAGAATAGAGCAGCTGGCGGCGCCTCAGAAAAGTATTCATACCCCTTGAAGTTTTTCATGTTTCCAAGCTAAAACTGCGAATCTCTGTGTGGAACAGACCAACACAAACCAGAGTGGGACTGCGAACAATTCAGGCACTACAGTTTGCAAAAAGCCACGCAGGCACAGCAAATAAAAATGTAACTTTTTGAGGGAGACAATCGCCCTGAACACAACTTCTCTCATTAGAACATGGTGGTGGAAGGATCATGCTGATGGGATGTTTTTTCTTCAGCAGGCCACTTGTGTCCAAAAAAAGACACACGAGACGCTAGAAAATCAAGCAGTTCTGCAAGAAAACCTGCTGCAAAAAACTTGAGATTTCCTTGTGATCGGATGATCCAGACTGAAATCCAATGGAAAACTTGTGGCAAGACTTGAACGTTACTGTTCAGCCGGTCTCCTTCCGGTCTCAGCGGGACAGAGACCGTTCACCAGCAGGTCAGCATCTGGAAGTGCAAATCTGGTGGAGACTTACATCAAAACGCTCGCAGCTGCAACTGAACGGCGGCTCTACAATATGAACGCAAACACACGCCGCACTTTTCAGATTTGAATTTGTGAAAAAAGAAAAAAAAGAAATCTGTGCACCAATTTGGTTCACAAATGTGTTTCTCAAGGAAATGCCATCAACGTTTGTGGATATCACAAAATATGAAAAAGTTCAAGGAGTATGAAGTGAGGTGATATGACCCAAATATACGCCATAAAATGTTTTAAATGTAATTATGAAGTAAAATCATGCCACCGGAAGATAAAGTGGACTGAATTGAGAGCACTTCTTATCAAAATTTAGGATATAAAATGTTCTTAAAGTCAGCAATGAATTAAAATGCCGGTTCTACACTAAACTAAAACATTTGATAATGTTGGCAAACAAACAGCAGCTATTATTTATTTAAAGTCTTCTTCTTTAATGAAGTGTGTTGTGCTGTTTTGTAGAGTTTGACATCTGGAAACGATTTGAAATCATTTAAAAGCAAACAAAAAAAAAAAAAAAGGCTTCCAGAAAGTGATTTGCACTTGAATAATTAAAGACCAGAGAGTATTACCAAACCTCTGGCGTGACTGAGGTTGGAGTTGAATTTTTCTATACCAAAAATTATTCCTAGTCATTTTTCTAATTTGCTTTACGTGATCTAAATGAAAAGCTCTGTCTAGCATTAGCATTTAAGGTAGTATGGCACACCCCTTTTAAAACATTCAAGGGTGGGGATCCAAATAATGCCTTGTGTACAATTCCATCTTACAGCAACAATTTCTCCATTGTTCATCCGTGAGAGCTTTGGTTAGCTGAAACCATGTTAGAGTGGCAACAAAAAATAATAATAATAAACCAAACTGAAGGAAAAAACTAAACAAAAACAAAACATAAAAACAAACCCAAAAACCTAAATAAACGTACAGGGAATAAATTACAACGAACAAATATCAGAACAACATGATCATTGAGAGAAAGATCTATCTTGACTGGTTCTAAATCCACTATTCACTACAAGTATTATATAAATGAGTCCTATAGAACATCTACTTTGTAATTACAGGAGATAGAAAAAGAGCGCGAGGAGGGAGGGGGCTAAATATGAGAAAAAGGAGAGGTAGAGCGAGGGAGAACAACAAAGCACTACACTGGTATCAAAGACAGCACTCTGTTTACAAGTTAACTGTGATTTCTTTACACACTAATGAAGTACATGGATGAGCAACAAAAGATAGCGGCATCTCTGAGGATGTGGCATGGAAAGAGAGAACGTAATGGATGCACAGTACATTTTTAATAGTATAATACAATTATTAATATAGAAACCACAAAGTATCAATAAAACTCTGATTAAACTTGAAATCGGCAAAGCGTCTTACTTTTTTTTGTCTGTTTTTTTTTTACTTTTGTATTTCTTCTTTTCTTATACATTTGAACATTACAAGTTTTTTTTTTTTTTCCTTTAAATTATTGATCACACCTCCATATCATTTACTTTAGAAGTATCCAGCATATTTATTACCTGGTTGTTTTAAAAGAAAGAAAAAGAAAAAGAAAAAAAATTAAACAAGTGCATAAAAAGAAAACAACGGCATTGATCAAATTTAAAAACCAGACCGCACTCTGGCATGTAACATTACTATTGTTATTATTATTTAATAATAAATCGATGTCAAGAATAAAACCTTTTTTTTTTAAACCACACTTATATACGGTGTAAAGCCGAGTGCGGCTACAGATAGTGAATAATTCAGTGTCATCTTTTGACCCTGTATAAATATCCTCAGGTGAGACGTGGGTCTAAAGTATAGAAATCCAAGTGTACGCTGCGACACGCCCGTTTTTATACACCGAGCCGCTTGTCCAGTTGGGAACACGTTGACCCCGCCCGCCCCCGCCCGAAACGACCCGACCCGACCCGACGCGACCACCAGTAAATCCTTCATGCTGTCCTAAAGCACGAGGCCGTTTGTAAAAAGCCAACATACACATGTGCAAACAAGAGGATGGCCTGTACTTCACAACTCACAGTGCAGCGATTGCTCGCTGTAAAATAGCCTTTCAGTGTTTTCTTTTTTTTTTGACATTTTCGTCACTAGAATAAATTAAAAACCCGCCAATGATTCCACGGTAGAAGTTACGAAGGCTGAGGTATGGTATCAAAATGTTTACTGTCCTAATTCATTCAAAAAAGAAACGATTCAAAGAACAAGCAGTATATATATATTTATATATTTCCATATACATATATATATATATATATATATATATATATATATATATATATATATATATATATATATATATATGCAGATAAAAAGGCTCGACCATAGAGCCCAGGTATTTTGTTCCATGAGGTGAATCAGGAACAAGCAGGATGAAACGGACATTAAACACATATATAGCTAACAGGTTCCTCTCAGCAGTAGAAAAGCGTCAGGATGCGCAGAGCTCTGCGAAATGCCCGCTTCAAGTTCGAACCATCGCGTATCTTCGTACAGTGTGCTTTGGATAAAAATCTTCTTTACTTTTCCTCTCTCTCTCTCTTCATCTCTCCCACTTTGAAGTGATCTTTAAATCATAATCGCTGTTCTTTCTCTAAAAACGGCGCTTAGACTAAACTCACCGGTCATAAATTTGCTGGTATGACGCTTTTAAAACGACTCCGCTTTCAGTATTTACACGGCTGTTAGTGGGCTTTTTTTTTTATACCATCTGTCAGCAGAAACAAACCAAAAAAAAAAGAAAAGAAAAACAGAACAACAACAACAAAAACAAAAAACATAGAATATTGTTTACAGCTTTTTCTTCTATTCACACGCCAGAACGTATTCTTTTGACACACCATCACAAAAATATGCTATTCTCTCACTGAGCTGGTTATATGCAGTGACTGGAATAATATGTACAGCTACATTTCTTTTTCTCAAGTTTCAATTCACAATGTCGTTATATGAAATTTGTTATAGCATATATATATATATTTATATATATTTATATTTCTACACAACAGAAACAACACTTATAAAAAAGGACCATAAAAATATTGGAGTCCTCTTTGTATTGCCCAAAAATAGGTAATCATGGTTTACAATGAGACATCACAAGAAATAAAACGGCTACTAAAATTTATTACTTAGATACCTTCTGTTTAAAATTTCCTTTTTTTTCTCCTCCAAGCCCGACCATACTGAGCTTTTTTTTTTTTTTTTTGCTTAAAGACCGAATGGAACTATCCCAACCACTTTTGTTTCTTTTTTTTTTGCCATTACACTGACCAATACGAAGATGAAGACGTGACTTGCAGATTTTCTTGGCTCTGACCCGCTGTACTTTAAAAACCAAACGAAACAGAAAATAACCAGAAAATGCACTTACAAACTACGAGAAGATAAAAAGTCGAGGCTGAACTCAGGCGACGCGCTAGAAAGTGATCAAAAAACAAAACGCTAAGGGAAGAAGGACATCGGTGAGCGAAGTTGACGTGGAACATCCTACCAAACCAGGTTGTGAAGGTATAGGAGGTTTGGGTTATAGTACAGCAGTTGTTTGTTTTTCTGAGATGACAAACGTTTTTTTTTTTTCTCTCTCTTCTTCTTCTTCTTCCTCACATGGTTCCCGCTTTTCGCTCATTTAGCCATCGGTGACGCTGTAGTGCTTGAAGTTGGATAATCATCACCTGCACACAAAGCCAATTAGAAACTCCGTCCTGTCTGTCCCGGGCCACCAGATATACTCTGCTGGGTAGTGAAAGAAAAGCAAAGGCACAAAAAAAAGGACAAGGTTATTACTGTGTATGGCCAGAAGTGCTTTTGACACCATTTTATACATTTATACGGTTTCCTAACAAAGTGCTACGAATGCTTGCGGAGACGAGGAATCTAAAAAGTAAGCGATGAAGATGAAAACTGTTTCGTGCCTCTGCATTTACTGCAACCCCTAACAAATATGTGTAAAAAGCTTTTAGAAAATATGAATTTCCGATATAATTTGGGGAAAAAAATCAGTGAGGTTTTAACCTCCTTTATATTATTTGTTTCCTGTTTTAAGGTGAGTCATGTACACCTAATTAAATGTTCATAGATGCTGTGGATGCTCTCCATATCAAGCAATAATATCAGCGTTGGCCAACATCAGGCGTTCTTTTTTAAATATTGATGTTTGGCCAAATAAATAAAACTGGGCCAATATTTACAACTGATATTTATTTTCTTCTTGTTTGTTTCTGCAGGGATAAAGGAGATCGGTCATGTGGGATTTCCCACAATCCTTTGGGAATTGTGGGAAGTTCAACTGAAGCAGATAATCAGTTGTGAAGTCAGCAGTGTAGTCATTTTTTTTCAAAATGTCGAAAGAGTTGGGAAATGCATCATACATAAAATATTGGTAAATATCGGTTATTGTCTATAACGGCAATATTAGGATCAGATATCAATATCGGCTGACCATTTCAGCCGATATTGATATCTGATCCTAATATTGCCTAAAATTTCTATTATTAGAGTTTTTAGACTCTAAACTAGAGAAACGCTTGTGGAGGCATCGATTTTGTCAAAAATTATTATTTTTTTCTTTCTTGAAAGAAAAAATTCCTCAGGATATTGCAAAGGAAAGGGTTGCTTCTAAATTTTTTTGGATAAGATTGTGCAACTTTTAATTTCAAGCTTCTTACACATCTTTAGTCGGGATGCCAAATGACAGCGGAGGGTGCTGCAACTGTGTTGAAACTACAGTGGTTTACGCAATCTTCATGAATGTGTTTGGACATAAAAGTACAATAAAATTACATCCCACTGTTGCGTGAAACAAAGCCAAAGGGGCTGTTTAAATGAAAATTAACACATCACAATATTGCACAAAGGAGCCCTGGGTATGTCAGACAGAAATAGAATTATTTCCTTTTTCTGGAATCGTAAGTCCTGACAATTTCATTGCACAAACAAGTAATTTCAGCAAACTGGTTGATAGGAGAGAAATAATCGTTGGATCACTTGTTAGAGGAAGGATTTTGAGAGTTTTCTTTACTATAAATAAAATGTGCGGCCACTTTCGCTTCTGTAGCAGCAGGGTGTTGACTCATTGAGTTGTTGGCAAATGATTGGCTAAAACAAGACACTACTCCAGGATGAATGCATGTCAAATGATAAAATGAGAAGATTAAAAAAATGAAGAGCTGACGGTATGTTAGTGTGTGGGACTTGAGCGACTCAGTTCCTCAGACAAATCAGCTGGGATTAGTTTTTATTTTTACTTGAACATGGATGTTTTTGGGGGTTTTTTACGAAAGAAAGAGACAGAAACACTCTGTTTCACACACACCTGTACCACCAGCTCCAGCATTTTGATAAAGAAGTGGTGAAAAACGGCGAGGAATATGTGATGAACAGACATTAAAACAATACTTTAGAGAAAAGCACAGTAAATAAAAGGCAATACCTCTGATGAGATGGCAACCGGCCACCTGTTCAATGGTATCCGTTTGTAAAAGCTGTCGCAATCAACGGGCCCTAAAAGTGTACAGTTAGTGCTGTTGTCAGTATGCATTTCAAAGAGAGAAAAAGTGAGTATCATATCAACGGTTGTGTTTTTTCTAAGTTTTTTTTATTTGATTTTTTTTTCTGCTAGCATGAATGTGAAGGTTTGGATTGAACTGGATCTCGTAGAGAAGCAAAACTTTTCATGGAAAACAGAGAAATAATTACAACTGGAGGGGGAAAAATACTACTGAAAAATACTATTGAAAATACCAAAGTCTTTTCAATAAAGTAAATGACTTGTGCTGCATTTAATAATTTAAGGTGTTGTCGGTTTAAACATTTTTTCTTGTAACAGGGGAATGTCCAGGTTATGAGTTTTTAGACTGAATATAAAAACACGTGAAAGAGATAATAGTAATAATACACACAATCCCCATTCATCCCAACATAAACAACTGATTTCATCTGAGAACATGGAGAAAACGGCGTCATAAACACCCCTCTGAAGGATCAGAAGGGTTTTGAAGATTGAAGGGTTTTCATAACGACGCTCAGTTATCAGGACTTTGCGAGCTTTCCTGCTGACAGGTCTCTAGGAACCCATGGATCTGAGCACAAAAGAGAAGCACTTTCAGCAGCGATTATTTGTCTTTATCACCTCAATCAGCTAATTGCGCTCTAATTGTCTTGCATGGGGGGGGGAATGTTAAGATCATTACTGCTTCTTCAGAGCAACTGTTTTCATACTGGCTAAAGGGGCTAATGCAATCAGTGGAGCGTGAAACGGAGGGGCAAATCAGTGAAGCTGAAGTCATCCATGAGGTTGTGAGATATAGTGATTATATACACATTCAGTTCAACAGCATCTCTGATAAAGAAACGAATTATGAAGCACGTTTTACTTCTTGCTCATTTCCTATTTTAATGTTCCGAGCAAGAAGTCAGAAGCTGCTTCACCTCTAAGCGTCGCGGCTCTCTTTTTGATTCACTGCGATTCTCAAGTGGTGATTTAATATATAGTATTACTTTGTGAGCACAAAGCTTGGCTGTAAATACGCAGAACGCTCTGACATATTTCTAAAAGATTGAATACGAGCGTTCTTTGGCCGGTTCCATAAATTATATTGAAGTACAAAGCCAATAAAATTACTGACCACTCAGAGAAGGGCTGCACAATATATTACAAATGCATTGTGGATTATGAACATAATTTTTACATACTCATGTCATATTTCTCCACTGGACAGAGTCTAGCACCAGACACATGTGCTGAAGTTCACAAAATGATGGAAGCAAATATGAGAAAGAGATGGAAAAAAGAAAATAGGGACATATTGTGTCTGATATGGCTACTGTACTTTTCTTTTTTTACCATTATTGCCATGATAGCAAGAAATTCTAATATTGTGCAGCCTTAACTCGGAGGATTGTTTTTATTTTCCTCAAAATCACCGATGGCAATGGATGTATAATAACTAACACAAATGCCCCCGTGTTCATCACTCCACTTATCTGCTGGTAAATCTGTCCTGAAAATGAGCCGCTCTGGTCTTTCTTAATAAATATTTAGCCTTCTACACTGAGACCAACAGATTATGACGCACAGCCAGCAGACCCAAAACAATTAATAAGGAATTTGCCGTGAAAGTGCAAAAACAACCACAGCGTGCATTTGGACAGCATAAATCAATTACAGAGGTTGCAAAATGAAAATGAGAAATGTTTGCCTTCTCCTGAGCTATTTGTGCATTTGCTCTCAGTGACACTGTCAACAAACAAGAGATGCATCAACAGAGCTTCACGCGTCTCCTAATCCGCAGTGAAGATCTGAGAAATGTCCTGAGAAACCTATTTATTTAAAAACATAATGCAATATGTGATTGTGAAAGGAAATCTATGTACTACAAGCACAGAAGAACAGAAATATGATACAATTAAGCAATAAAATAAATGCTACGACACAGATGAACAAATTAAGCTAAAAAAGTAAAAAAACAAACAAACTATAAGCTACCTGAATAAAGGAAAATAAACTATTAATTTATGAAAAAAGCCAAATAAAAACAACCTGTCTGGTGAATTTAGCAAGAGATTTTAAAATGAGAATATAAGATATGTGTTTCCTCATTTTAAGTTTGTTTTATTTTAAAAAAAAAGGTCAACGCATGGCTTTCCAAAATGTATTTAAGGACATGTTTACATATCTTTTCTAGAAGTAAAGTAGCAGCAACAGTGAAACATATGCTGTATTGGCTACTGCAGCTCCCTGTTTGTTTCTCTTGTGTGGCCTCATGTGCCGTAGTGAGATATTTGTGGATATCCATAAGAGCTGAAATGCTAACCTTTTACTTTTCACAACACTCGAAGCAAAGCGTAATGTTTTTAAAGCAGGATAACAATCTCTGTTGCAATGCTTGTCTGCCAAAGATCAATTCACACAGCACCTAAATCATGTTATGACACAGGTATTAGAGTCTTATTGAAACAGAGAGCAAACGTGCTAACATTAGCCTAGCACATCAATTAAGTCTTCAGCAGGAAAACATTGTTATCAGGAGCAGGACATGAATGTATTAAAGATTTTTAGCTTTAGAAACCAATAAGAGCAATGTGTGTTATAATCGACATACTGTACATAAAAGCAGATGTTAGCAAACACTTTGAATCTACGGTTGAGACTAAACTTGTCACAAAAAACAGCATCTAGAACCTCTCTGTAATATTGATGAAATATGGTGTCATATTTTATTTACAAACCGTACATGGGATTTACTTAAAGTAAGTTTAAAACAAAGCCCCGGTATCAGCAACTGAATCAGATTAAATGACTCTGGAGGTATTAAGAACATAAATCTTTATCTTTGCTACTAATTTCCTCCTTTGGTTCAGTCACAAAATGCAGCACAAAAATGCTAACATAGCATTTAGCTACAGCTAGCGATTTAGTGACGCACAAATGTTGAACTACGCCTACAGTGGAATGAGATTTTTTTCAGTGAAGTTTGGGTGTTAATTTTTTTCTGACGGATCCCGAACATAACGTTTAATCTCATACACCGTCTCTCTCTACATTTTCTGTTGTTTGTGAACTCTGCAGTGGAGATTTTCTGCAGTGGAATACGATGCAGATAAAGCAAGAGACCATTTTTCCAGTGCTGTGAGAAGACAGGACACTGTGCAGAAAGCAATGTGTAGAAAGTCTGCTGTCTTTACAGCACATCCTGAATGGTGGGTGACAATGCTGGAAGTGTTCAGAGCTTTTAGGAGAAAAATGTCTGTAAGTAGCCTGGAGCGAATGCATCCTTACATGCCCTCCCAGGAGAACATCTCTTAAGACATTTCAGAACAGTGCAAGGCCTAAATGTTAAAGTGATATGATTTTTTTCCCTTTTATCTAAGGCTTAAATATTTCCAAATGTTATTTTGCACTGTATTTCTATGGATGTCTAATATTTGTTAGTCTTTGCTTTTGCTAAACTTACTCTGAAGCCAAAGCCAGCTGCTATTTTCAGACTCCACATGTACTAAGTGATTGATGGTAGAAGTGAAGCAGTGTGCAGAAGGGTCCTCTGACTTTTTCACTTCATGCAGTGCTGGAAAAAAAGAGCTAATGAAAAGGTAAAGGCTGCAGCTCAAGAAGTCTATCCAGCTTTATAGATTTATTACCAAACTGGTTGACATTTCTGCTGGATACTTGTGTGTTAAGATTTCCGGCAGGCTTTATTAAAAAGATCACTCTGGGTTTTAAATACCACAATAGTTTACTCTAACATTATTATAACTCACAGCTACATGGGACTTGGGAGCATTTTTGTAGAGCTTATTTTTTTTGCTTGTATGACTTTGATCACTTCATCAAGTTAAAGAGTTAAACAGGGATCTGTGCTCATCTGAGCAAAATTAGGTAATACGGGCTGTCTGAAAACCTTTTATTTAGGCTCCATCTATGCACATAATTATAGTCTAACACTTGAAAGCTGAGACAACAACCAGCTGCTGATCTGCAGAGAAAATGAAATCAACATGGGGGACACTTGGAGTGAGAAAACCTGCCTGGAAGTACTGGTCTAGTGAAGGAACTGATCTGGGACATATGGGCTTCTGAAATTAAAAAGTGGCGTTTTCTAATCACCTGTATGAAGTCTGATTCATAACATGGTGATATATAAACAGTATAGAAAACAGAAAATCTAATTCAGCCCTTTGCAAAATTCTATCCACATTTTATAACTATATTTTGCCATTTCATCCTCCAGAATAAACTATCTAGAACCTATGTACTTAAACAACTGCATTCCAGCTTTTTAAATTTTTGGCAGCAAGTTTTGGTTATTAATTTGTGAAAATAGTATGCGTTTCAAATCTCATTTAGGCAAGTTGACTCGAATACAGCATAACAGATCCTGATCAAACTAAAATCTTTCCTGCAAGTAAATATTGCTTATTGGAATCATATAACCACATCTGCTTGGAGTGCACTGAGAGCAGATTTAAGAAAACGACTTGAAGTTATCTGTTGTCAGAGCAAGCACAAAATGCGTCTTTGCGGTTTTGGATGGCTGCACTTCATGCTTGCAAAAAACTTGAAACAACTAAAACTGGGAAAGGAAATCATGAAGGCCGAAACGAGTGGTTCTCTGCATTAATTTGATTTTGAACAATGCTCTAAGAACCTGATTATTGTCGGATGCATAAGTTGCCACCCTGATTACTCTTATGCACTATCAAGAAATCTGCCTTGTGTGTACTAAATGTCATTAAATACCCTGGTAGTACTCTATAATTTAAGGTGTCAGGGAAAAATAATGTTATTTAAAGAATTTGATGCAGTTTTTGCATATCACAATTCAAATTTCTTTTATCACAAACACTATGCATAGTTTGAGTTGCTGTCTAAACTTAGCTCCCAAAACCTGCTGGTGAACTGTTTGTGATTATTTGTCAGCCACACTCCCAGTCAAAAGCTTGCAATTTGTTTCTAGTTGAAAAAAAAAAAATATATATATATGATTTATTCTGTCCAAATTTAGTTTTTTGTTTACAGTTAAAAGCAGAGAGAAGAGCAGCTAAAATGCAACTTATTTAGCTTTATGATGTCCAAAGCAAAGTGCTGAGCTTATGACTTTTTCTATAAAATGTTTCAGCACACAATTAAAAGTGTTTCAAGCCAAGTTATCAATAAGTTACAACGGAATAATAAGCATATTAGCAAAGTGTTCTGTATGAAGACATTCGAAGGAACCAAATATGAGTTGATTGAAGATTGTAGCTGCATCATGGAATGCATATATCATCCAGAGCATTACTGCTGAGTATGCAGCATTCAGAGAGTGCTTTGCTTTTAATAAAGTATCAAATTGGTATCAGAAAGTGCATATTCCTTGAAAACCGAGTAAAAATCCAGTTAAGGACATCTCTACCTTCATGCATTTTCTATGGGCTAACAATAAAATGATAAATATGAACATTATCTCACTTTCTTACAGCTTCTATCGACAAAGAATCTAAGAAAATCCCCTGCTAAGAGCCAATTTCAAGTACTTCAACTGGAAATGCAAGTTTATACAGAAAGAGAATGTGAAAAGCTACACATCAACAGTGCTCTCGTCAGACAGTAGACCACATAATCCGAGCTCAAATACTCACAGTAATGCTGGGTCCAAACCCAGAGCCGGGCTGAGGACTAGCAGCGCTGATGTAGTTCCCCACGGCTGAATCCTGGTTGCTAGGTCCGTACAGGTCAGCCACAGGCCCTGGACTGTTGGCGCCGGGAAAACCGCCGGGCCTCGACGGGTTGGCGCCTGCACACAAACACACGGAGGAGCGGAGAAGTTTAGGGAAACTCGTCACCCATCAGCACCGCCCTTTAGTGCTCTGACCCCCACTGGACACTTTTGAGTTGACAGAACACATAACTGGATTCATTTGTTCGAGTCAAGAAGGACTTATCTGCAGCTTGTATTGGATATCTTGATGTAGCAAAGGAAAAATTCAGGCCTAATTTTTCTTGAAATAAGGTTGAATCCAGTATGATTCTAAAAGAATCTACATGCTGTGTGTCTAATGCACACAAACATTCGCTTTGCTTAATCATGCACAAAGAAAACAGGCGACATACTTCCATCATGCTAGTAAATTTGTAGGTTGCAGTGCTCTCATGCATAATGTGAGGGAGTACTTCTAAAATAACCATTTATACTTAACGAATATTATATTATTATTATATAAGGCTATGCTCAAGATTTAAAGTTTCTCAGGAGAATTCCAAACATTTGATCGTAGGTTGTGCTTCTTCTCCTGTTTAAAAAAAACGTGATGTAAAGTAAAAAAAAAATAAATTACCTAAACGTTGCTTGCATCTCAAGTCTATAAGAATAACTTCCAGTAAAAAGTAAAAAAAAAAACAAACAAAAGGGGGCTTTTTGGACAGTAAAAGGCAAAAAACGAGCAATATAAACGACTGACCCGAGAGTTCGTTTAGAGGTTTGAACTTCGAGGGAGATAAAACAGAAATACTGTACAGAACTTACCACCTCTGCCCTGTGAGTAAGAGCAACTCAGACTAATAAAATTTCTTTTGAAAATCCATATGCCCACTAAAGGCCAATAACACAGGCAATGCAAGGGAAAAACAGGCAGGGAGAAAGAAAAATGTGGTGATCTCTTAACAGCAATCTCCTTTGCTGTCAGCTTCACATAACCCTCCGTCTCACCCTCATTCACACGCAGACTGAAACGTTGGGGGGAGAGAAAAAAGCCGTACGGCATTAAAAAGAAAAATCTCCCGAGCACAAAAACAGCTCGATCTTGTGTATATATGGGACGGCGAACCCTGCGACGCCTGAGAGGAGGTCTTTTGTATAACGCATTAAAAACCACATAGTGTGAGAGCAGTGCACTCAATGTTGCTGGTTGCAGGCAAACACAGTAAACTAGACTTGTCACCTTGTTTAATGTGTCGCTGCTCCATCTATCAAAGCTATATTAGAGAAGTTAACTCCGTTTAAAGGAACGCCTCAGATATCCATTTATAGCACTCCAGGAAAATGAAGCCATCTCGCTAAACACACATCTGGAAGTGTTGACACTGCTGTTTGACTGTAAAGACTTTAAACAGCGAGCAGCTACTGCTCTTATCTTGCCTGCACAGCCCCCAGTGGGCTGGCTTATTACATAATTAAGGATTTTTTCAGTTGAAATGGCAATCCTCATTATCTGTAACTGGTGATTTTTATTGGAGTGCAGCATCTCCCCCTTTAATATCCATACATAACTGATTTTCATTTTACAACATAAAAAGCAGAAGATGCGCTGGCTGCGCATTTACAAAACAGTATCAAGTGAGACACTCAGATTAGTTTATTTCATCAGTTCACAACAAATATAATCTCAATGCACTTTATCAAAAATAACAGATCAAATGTATTTAATGTATTAGTTTTCTGTATTTTAGAATGTTTTTTGAGATAAAAACTTTAAAATCATCTAATGCTAAAATGGTCTCTGTCGTTAACACTGAAAACTATTTTCATACAAACAGAATATTCCCATATAACATGTATACTGTCTTAAAATCAGTTTTTCCCATTTTATTTGAGCTGTAGCCAAAATAAAGCATATTTTGTGAATCCAAATTTTTAACTTGATCAGGTTAGGCAAGGACAAACAATTTTAAAAGGGTTTTATAAAGAAATTTGAATAATTCTGTTTCTTGAGTTTTTTGGTGCCTACTTTGTGAATGTCCATTGTTGTATTTAAGCAATTGAGTCATTTCATAAATTTATGACATATGCTTCGCTTTGTTCTGACAGTTGCAATGGAAAGATAAATGTGTGGGTAAAAAATCAAGGGAATCAGAGAGAGGAAATCCTAAAAAAAGATTCTGCTGACCTCATAATGAAGAATTTACTTTCAAAGACATTTTCTTTTTGTCAAAATTCATCCTAAAATAATTCAAAATTTTTACTCTTAAAATCTTAAAAACCAATTTAAGTACAGATGCACTAAGAAATTGTTAATAGCAAGACTCAGAAGCTCTATAGCTTTATCAACCCTGATCAGCATCCAATTGGAAACTCAAAAACACAACATTCACTGAGGAAGTTGCGACTGAGAGAAGAACACTCCATGTTACATTTCAGTATCAAGTAAATATATGTAAAGTGTAAGGAAGCACAGAAATGTGATTGTGAAAAAACATGATTTCTCTATACATAAATGTCTGCTGTTAATTCAAAGAGCAAGCCTTCAGGGGATAACAGGAAGGCGAAACAAATAACAGCAAAGTGGGAGTGTTTAGTTTTTTTTAGCCTTCTGGAAACAAAAGCAGGTTTATGAACATCTCAGAATAAGGGTCTAAGTTTTTTTTAGTAATACACACATGCACTCCTGTTTACAGTTAGCAATGCTAACCTTGCTAACCTTGTCCTTTAATATAGAATGCCAAAGACAACTTGTGTTAAATTATAATTAGGACAACTTAAAATGTTATCATTTTTCTGTTTTAAAATATCAGCAAAACCCCTTTTCACATGGAGGTTTCTAATTAATAAAAAAAAGTAAAAATAATAAATGGAAATACTGCTAACAGTAAGAACCAGTGAAAACAGTATCGACTGGTCACAGCTACACAAAACTGGAGATGTTCAATTAGCCAAAAACTCTTGGCACGTTTCTAAATGTACAATAAAACATTTCAAATTAGCTGATGCCAACTGAGTGACCAATCACAGCTAAAGGATCTACGAAAAAAATCCCTTTTTTTTCTTTTATTTCTTTTAAATTACATCTAGATAGCATTATTGTCTCTAAACCTAACATGAGACAAAAGGAAGGATAGAAAAAAAAATCAGCTTATAAACAATAAGGATAAGGATTTAGTGCAATCTGACTCTGGATGGCCTGCAGATGTAACAGCTGGGCATCCAGAGATTACAAGAAAATACAAACTGACAGATCTCACACATACCATTGCTCCCTTGTTGGTTTTAAAGCAGATTACCTACCAGAACCGGGTTTTATTTTTTTTATATTTTACTTTTATAGTTAATACTAAGATCAGTGAATCTCTCAGACCAAATATCCAAACTGCTGCATTCAGGTCAACATCTTCTACCACACAAGATGCTTCTTAAATACAGTTCCTCATAAGAGAATGCACTTATAGTACATACAAAAGCAAAATTTAGTTTTCATTTTAAAAGTCTAATCACGACTACTTGTTGCTCTAAAACATAAAACACATTTGAAATCCTTTTGATGAGACTCTTTGCCGTCTGTGTGCCATACTTTTCTTCCCTTCAGTCTAATATCCTGCTTCTCAAAACAATCATAAAATGGGGGGAAATGACACAATGCAGCAAAGATCAAAGTGAGCACGTAAAGTGGCTCTATTTATTATGCAAAAAAGAAAAAGTTTCTTCTTAAGTGTTCATTGTTTTACAAGCATCACTGCCTAATAATGTGAGCAATCTCTCCCACACTTAGAAGTCTTAAGGGTTTCAAAGAAAAATGCCACTCACTCCTACCTTTACTCTCATCTTTGGCTGTTCAAAATTCATATAAACCTGAGCACTGCTAGAGAGGCCTCTGTACTCTCTGACATCATCAGTAATTACTTTGTTCACATGCAAATGAGGGATTACATTCTGTATGTGTCGGCCCCTTATGTGCAAGCAGGGACTGGAGGGAGGGGGGAATCTTTGCAAAGAAACAACAAAATCTACATTTGAATTTGAAAAAGGAGGAAGGACATGCAATGCTAATTTGTCAGCAAGATGTTGTTTTGTAATTTTTTTTTCCTTTAAAGGGGATTTTTTTTTTCTTTCATCGACAAAGGTGAAACAAATATATGCTTTAAAAAGAAAAGACTTGATCATCTGCATGGAATAATGTCATGAATCAAACTGAAAAGTCCAAAATGTGAGATAGATGCTCAGATACAAACCTGGGTTCTTAAACTGATCCGGGCTGTGTAGGTGCTGTAGGGGGGAGTTGCAGGCGGAGGTGGCATGCTCACTGTGCAGCATCTGAGCCGCCTGGGGCCCCAGGGAGCCATAGTCAGCAAAGGAGCAGGGCCCCCCCCTCTGGTCACTGGGCGCAGAGTAAAACCCATAATCGGGGAGGCCTGGGAGATACAGTATAAGGGTGGGGAGGAGGGGGAGGGGAGGGGACTCCATCATTGTGGAAATAAACTCTTTTTCATTGTCAAAGTCAGCGTCCAAATTGCTAAGCATAATGTGCTGGAGTCTTACACCGCCTTCTGATTACATCTTTTTTAATTGGCCCTCCCCGCCCTCCCTCCCCTGCAGCTCCTGCCATGTGCCCAAGGCCCTCTTCCCCTTCTTGCCCCTCACCCATCCCACCCGGCCTACGGCTCTTATTTGAGATATGCAGCTGTGGTGTGAAAGCTCGCGCCGTAATTCGGCTGCATAAATTATCTAGCTCATTGAATGTCTTTGTAACAGGAACTCCTGGCTTTTCTGACTTCATTCAACTTAACCAAACAGTCTTCAGCTGAAACCAGGTATTAAGGTACACTGTAAACCCCCTCACTGTTAGACATTAAATCACACTTTTCTGTTTTAGTTCATTTGTCAGATTATTGTTAGAGAAACCTTTTCAGTAACACTTTATTTATTTATTAGCGTAAGACTGACCTGAGACTGTCATAAACATGACATAAAACCATGAACATGAATGACTCTTCAGAAATGTTTACGACTGTTCACCTGAAATATCATTCGGTAAATAATGACACTTTTAATGCAAAAGTGTACTAAAAGTTGCATTAAACGTGCAAACTTTGAATTATTCAGTAAATAATGACACTTTTATTACAAAGTTCAATTAGAACTGGCATTTAAAAGTGTCATTATTTACCGAATGATACTTCATGACAACAATCAAGCATTCATAAAGACTCCTTCATGTTCATAACAGATGTTATGTTTATGACAGTCTCATGTCAGTCTTATGCTGACATGAGAATAAAATGTTACCACTTTTTCTTTAACTTTGGAAGTTTACACACATTTTTCTTTCAGCCGTATGACTTGCACAAAAACAATATGGGTATTCTTCCACACGCCTCTCTCAATAGTTTGCTTGAATTTTGGCTCGACTGGGTCAGGTTTGTAGGCTGCCTTGCTCTGACATACCTTTTCAGTTCTGCCCACCTTTGCTTTATATTTGCCACTCCAAAGATCGACTTTGCTGTCTATCAGCCACTTTAAAACTAAGGGCATCTTCATACCAATAGTTATGTAATTTAGACCAAATTGTTGAGTTTGTTGACATGTAACTTTTCTGGTTGGTTCAGTTTCTTTTCACATAGAGAAAACTCAAATGGACCAAAACATGTCACTACAAACTAAACTAAAACATTCAGTCTGTTTCTTGGTCTGACGTGTCAAAGGTTGGGAGAACCAAGGAAGCAGACGCTGAGTTATCCTTCATTTATTCACTGGATTTTTTTATTTTTCTCTATAGCATTATACGCAACATTATTTAAAAAATACAGTATTTTGAATAATTTTGAGAAAATGTTTTTATAGGAATTTATGCAATGTGAAAAAACAAACAAACAAACAGTACCATTGCCTACTGGATCATAAGTGATAGGTGCTGGTAGATGTCAGGTTGAGACTGGGTCACACTCACACCATAAACAACCCGATCTGGAGTTCATTTGGAACCAAATCTAAACCGTTTGAGAGAACCGAACCACAACCTGTTTTAAATGGACTGAGCAGAAGAGGTGTGGAAACACTCTGGTTTATTGGTCAGCTGAGGTTCATAGTCTGTTTACAAAACCCATCTGATCAGAGCTTCAACTTCCTGACAGTTATGTTGAGATGCTGCTTCAATATTGTCATGAAGTGTTTTCTTTACACAATATTGTCAAACAAGGAAGCACCATATTTAAGGTTGTTGCTTTAAAATTAGGGCTGTTCCTTTAACAGATTCATTTACAGAAGATAAATAATTTAAAAGTAACACATTTAAAGGGATTGTGGAATTTAAATCCAAAAGCTCTGTGAATTAGTATTTAAATTAGTAAATATCAGATGTCGCAGCGCTAGTGGATGATATGCGATCTACGTGATCCTCCCTCTTGCTTGAGTTTTTCTAGTAGTGGTAACCAAACAAGAGACATAAGAGAATCAAATTAGAAAACTTGAACTTTGGCCTGAATGCATCACAAGCCCCACAAAGCTGCACCCACGTCTATGCTATTGTTGCACGGAGCAGGAGATATTCTTACTTAGATTTTAAACAATTTTTTAAAAAAAGCTGCTTAAAATACATCTATAGGGGGCCGATATTTATCCCAAATATTGCAAAATAACCAGAAGCTTACAAAGCTGTAACATTATATGTGGCTTTTTCAAATTGTTTAAAGGCTTTACAATACAAGTGTATGAATATTTCTGAATTTTAAGGAGGAAAAAACTTTTCTCATTATTCTAAACCAAGTTGTACAATTGGAAAAAACAGAAAAAAAATCATCTTAATCCGATTAAATATCAGGCAGTGAGGAGGAAAAAAAAAACCAAGATAATAAAATCCACAAGTGTTATATTTTAGGTCAGATCTATCCAAATGGACTGACAGAGGAGGGAGATAAAACTGGCAAATCATTAAAAAAACACATCAATGCATTCCTCATTTCAAACTGTCAATTTTCAGTGACGTACCTGAAGGAAGGAAAACACATCGCACTAATCAATAATCAATCCGCAGCCCGCTTTCAGACCAGTAAAAACTGATAAGGGTTTTTTTCTTTACGTGAATGAGACCCAGAGACGTTCATGTTTATTGATGATAAGCTTTGTGAAGTGTTTTGAGTACTTTAAGCATGCCTCAAATTGGCCTCTTTGAGCAATTCTTTCCTTCACACAGATGGTGGATTATCAACAGTTTAGAAAATGCCTTTCCGCAATAAGTCCTGGTGACATTTATTGCTTGTTCTTTTAATCTGAGACAAGCTGCTCATATAAAGAGTGCAATTAAAAAAAAAAAAAGCCCTGCTCCTTCTAACACCTCTTTGATAACGGAGTTAATCTACTCAGGAGGGACTGAGATTGGTGACACAGGCTGGTCCGTGTTGGGTTTCCCCTGCTGTTTGTGGATGTGGATCTGTGTGTTTGTGTGTTTTTTTTTTATTTAGGTCCTGGAGCGAATAGCCATTCAAAACCACTTCACCTCTCCCCATTCAGAGTGAGACAGTCCACTTCTGCCAAATGGAATGTAAGCACCAGCCATGCTTCTCTCCGCCAATGCTTTTTAGCACTCTGATCTCACCACTTGTGGGCTGTCTGCCCACTCATCAAATTATAGGTTCCAAATAGGGCAGGCTTCCCACGTACGTCACATAATGCCTGACACATTGAACAAAGCTCAAGAAGCAATCATTCCATTTACTTCACTTAGACAAATGTCACTGAAAATTGATTGGCCTTGCTAATGAGGAAAGCTGGATCAATGGAATAATTACAATGGGGAAGCAATGTTCGACAATAGCACAAACCGTGTTTGTTGGGGATTCGTGGGGAGGACGCTCCGTTTATAGCACCAGCTCATAACGAAACAGTCACTACTTTCACTCCGACTTATATTTGCACTAAAGCCCTACACTCATCTGCTCTACATTTACTCTTTATTTAGACATACTTTGCTTTAAAGTGTTGCAACTGTGATGATAGCCTGACAACAACTTGTGCTGTGAGAAAGTACATTTCTATGCTGGTTTGGAATCGGTGGTGGCGGACTGATGCCTGGTGGTTTCTCTGCCACTGTTCAACATCTCCTAAGGTGTGTAATCACCTCACTGAAAACATGTACATGTCAAAGCCACCAACTGAGTTTAAGACTACGGATATTTGAGTCAACAAGGATGGCTTTTAGCTCCCATTTGATTTTGGGATTAGGACTAACTAGAGTCAAAATACTTTTACAGTGGAGATGTACTTAAGTCAAGTACACTTTTTTAGTAAGTGTTCAGTCACTGTAGTACTCTGTTGAAACTAAAGCAAGTTATTAAGTCACAGAAGACTAAATGTATCTCTTGATAATACTGGTGATTATTCTAATGCTACTCTAGATGGTATCAGTTTGAAAAGTCACTTGATATAAATATTTAGAAATCCAGACAGGTGAAGAAATATTCTTCGACACTCATGTTGGTAATTTGTTTAGGGAGTTTAGACCTGAAAGGGTTTTCTTCACTGAATCCAGAAAATGACTCATGTCCATCTGTGTTAAAATTGTTAAATGTTCCCAGAGTGAATTTGGTAAAACTTCCTTCTTCAGTTTGGGTGTCTTTTTTGTATTCATATTTGAAATCAACTTAGAAATAACGGGCTTTCCAGGTTCTTGAAAGGTAGCAACATATAACTGTTTTACTCCGTCCTTTACTGTTAAAATGTATTGTTTCACATGTTTTAATGTTTATTTCTACATATGCTTTCTGAGTTTTTCCTTCCATCTTGATCAGGACCACTAGAAAAATAGAAACTTTATTTCAAAATGGTCTTTCCTGGCTAAAAAATGGCTCTAGTACCAGAGATATATAGCAGAAGCAAAACAGGAAGAACGGAAGTTAAATGAACTTTTACATCAACAAGCTTGGAGTGCTGAAGGCAACACAGTGAGGATATCCAGACACATTTATACCTGATTTTAAAATTTACAGAGATTCAGACTGCAGAAAATGTGTTAAGTATAAAGATGACAGAGAGCAGAACTCCTTAATAAAATTTGATGTTATCCTGGATGACTCTGCATCCCCAGTTATAGAAACTCTGCTTATAAATTGTGTTTTATGTATTTTACCTTTGTCACCCAAGTTACATAACTAGGTATTTATAGCAATTTCTCACATATATTTTTGACATTTTGTTTTAAATTTGAGTCTTCATTCCTAAACAACTGACAAATACAAGCTAAATGTTTACATCTCCATGAACTGCACATCATAAACTAACTGTTGCACATCATGTACAGCAGTCAGGGACATGAACATGGGAGGGACACACATTATGCTCCCTTGCATTTATGTTACTGACTGCAAATCATTTTATCTTAAAAAAAGTTTACTTTATGAAAGATGCCACCTGTCATAAA